TCTGGGCATGTTTGCGAACTTATGGAATTGATGACCAGTTGCTACGAATCATCTAATCACTTGATGTAGATAAAAGGTGCGGTGTCACAAAATGGCTTTAATTTCGACACCTTTTAGCGTTGACACTGATCTCCACCAAGCCTGTGTTCTGTCCCCTCTTTTGTTTCTGTTGTACATGGGTAGAATAGTGTCTCAGCGTATAGGTGTGGAGACGAAAGGTTGCTGTTGGCAGACAACCTTGCTTTGTCGGCATCTTCTGAAACTGTTCTCCAGCGCTTTCTGGAAATGTTCGCAGCCGAGTGCGACGTGTCCGGCATGAGTGTCAACGCATCTGAAACGAAAAGCCTAATGCTTTCTTGTTCTCCAGCCCGTTGCTCTCTTCAGATTTATGGAGAGGCAGCGTAGCAGGTGGAGAAGTTCAAGTACCTCCGAGTCGTGTTTACTAGTGACGGAAAATTTGAGGAAGAGATCGACCGGCGGATTGGAATGGCCTGCATTAACTCATCTCAACCACTATGACGGAAGTCGAGTTAATTCAGAGAACTGAGTTTTCTGTGTTCAAATTGTTATTCTCGATATTCACATACGATTATGACTGATTAATTTCGATCCTGGGTACAAGCCGCTAAAATGGGCTTTCTGAGAAGGATCCCTCGACTCGTGTATCAGGAATACTGATACTGATAAGAGCCTTGATCTAGAGCCACTGCTTCGCTAGGCTAAGAAGTAACAGCTTTAATGATTTTAGCATGCCCTTCTAATACTTCCAGAATGCAAGGCGAAATAATTGCTACTTGCTCAGTCGACCGACCGAAGACCTCTGGCTGCCCAGAGTAATTACTTGGAGTATGTTACGGGACTGCTTCAGGCTCGAGTTTTTATCTGACGAAGCTGAAACACTAGTACGAAATCGGGATCAACTGCCTAAGTGTCTCCTCCGCGACCCAAATGTACATACAGTCATTAAAACTGACTGGCTGACCTACCTGCTTTTTTGGTTTTCTGGTCTGTTTGCTTAGTTATTTATTTGCAAACTCGTTTATCTGTTTAGTTATTTGTTTTTTATTTCGTTTTTGATTTGCTATACATCTTTTCTATACTTTCCTATTATTTGCATAGTTACTCACTTATTATCAATTGTAAGATTTTCAGCTTTTTACTTCCTTCGCTGTTTCCTGATATATTTGCACTTTTCTTTAGTGCCTACTTAATTAACTAGTTATTTGTTTTCATCTTTCCGATCTCCCTTATTTATTCATGTAGTTATTTACGTTGTGAATTGCTCGATTTGCCTTAGTTTCTTCTTACTTTGATTTCTAGCCACTTATCTGATTTCATAGTTTCCTACTTTCAACTTGATGAAAAAAATTGTTTCTTATTCTTCAAGCCGTATACGTAGATAAATTTGAAGTACTTTTTTGAACCGTCGATGCTCTGGTGCTGAGTTGACTTGTTTATCTATGTAGCAAACTTTGTTTTTTAAGGTTTTTTGGCCTTGATGGTCGATGATATTTTTTCCATTATATTTGCTCATGAGTTTACTTTTTCGATTTTTTGTGTCTATCATCATAAAAGTCATGATGAATGTACAAATGCTTTATCTCTTTGGGTCATGGCAAACTTTACGAAATAGCTGTTAATTTATTTGTTTCTTTAAATACGTTCTGTTTTTTAAGTACTTTTATATCGGTTGACTATTAGACTCTGCAAAATCGCTTCCTATGATTTCGATCTCTTTCTGGACTCCATGCAGATTGCAGTTGACGTGGTGCTAA